AATAGGTTTCATGGCTGAGCGGCAGGGCGGGAGGGCAGGCAGCCCAGATCCCAAACCAGCCTGTGTCGCCGTGACCAACTGACCCATTTGGCCTCATTTTTTAAGTAATTTTCCCTCCTCGTTCAACTTCAGCCCAGGCAACACCCTTGCCAGGACGGCTGAGCCCCCCGGGGGGGCAGCAAGACTCTGGCCGGGGGCCACAGTCCCTTACCTGCATGGCTCGGCATGGCACAGTGTGGCACAGCATGGCACGGCATGGCAGCGCTGGTGGTCCCACGGCAGGGGTGGCAGGCAGTGGGCAGCAGCAGGAGCACCCAGGCCACCTGAAATCGGAGGGCTGCCAGCTCCCGCAGCCTCATACCAACCCCCCCCAGCCCCGCAGCCAGGAATCTGTGTCCTTTATTTTCTCCTTTAGGGAAGTTGTGCCCCTGGGACAGACAGCAGCAGCTTGGGGCTGATGGGGTCTCACTGCAGGGCAGAGCCCCGGGAGGAGCAGGGGACGGTGGAGAACGGGACCAGGGTTTGCCCCGTGGCTGCTGGAGCAGGGCAGGGAACCAGTGCCAGGCTGTGGGACACCAGCACCTCGACCTACTTCCCTGGAGCGAAGGACAGGGAGTCCTCTCGCATGTCCCCTCCTGGCACAGGGACCAAAGCAGGAGTACCCTGGGGCTGTCACTGAGCTTGCCCCATGTCCCCAAGGCCAAAGGAGCCCTGCAGCCTCTGCGCCAGCCCCCCAGCCCCGTGCCTGCAGCCAGGAGCAGGATGGGGGGGGTGCAGGCGCAGGGATGGGGGACGTGGTACGGCTGCGAGCAGCTCTCCCAGGAGCGCCCTGCGGAGCACGTGATGCGGCAGCCGTTGGTCAGAAATGAAGAAAGACCTTTATTTACAGTAACAAACGAAAGGGATTAAAAAAAAAAATAAAAATACCGTGACACTTTCCCTCCCTTCCTCCCCAGCCTTTCAACGGGGCATTTGCCACCCCCACCCAGCCACCAACCCTGTCCCTGGCATGGTGGGATGGGGCCAACAACTGCTGGGGGTCATTTGGCACCAACCAAGCCACCCTGCCCCACTGCCCCCCCAGGATGCATGTGGGGTCGGTAACAGCTTGGCACGGCTCCGGGCTCGCCCCAGCCGGGGTGACTGCCCTGGCCCCCGGCTAA